ATTTCAGACATTATCTATACACGATAATATACATATGTTGAGAAAATTTATCAAATTACGTATTTTTGTCTATATTTTAAAAAAAATAATGGATAAAAATAAATTTTAAATGATGTAATCAAATAAATGAAAGAAATAAAAATTATTATTTAATACAATGAGATTAATTTTTTAAACGTTCAAATTTTATGTTTCATTGTACTTTTAGGCNTTTTCATGATAATCAATACCCTCTTGCTGAATGTATCATTTAGTCACTAGTCTGGCTTTGATCGTCTCGACAATGCTATCAGAATTGTATTTGATTTTGAATACATACTTACAGTCCATGGGCTGGCAAATTAGTAACAACCCAAGCTTGCCATGGCATAATACATTTCCCATACGTATGCTGTTATTTTTATTAGAAAAAAAACTATTTGTTTAGTATGAAAAGTTTGCTTTTTCATTAATAAAACTTATTCAGATTTTGTGCTCCTTCTACCTCGCTTCCTAGTCCTTTGTACTTCTTTTCATTGACAAATCTGCATCTCATCTTTGTCTCTTATGCTTCATTTGATAGGAAAGATAAAAAATTATAAGGATGAGAACTAGTAGGGATACAATTTCTATCCTTTAAGGAAGGAAAGTAGAAATGATATATTTTCTTTCCTTTGTGTTTGGTAGGATGAATGAAAAATAAAAATGATTAAATTTTTTTTTTTGGTACTAGCTAAGATTAGAAGTGACAATCGAATCGTATCGTGTCAGGTTCGTGTTAAGTCATTATGAGTTTATGTCCATTTAACTACTTGGGTCGTGTTGAATTGACCTGTTTATTTTCGCGTTGTGTTCGTGTCCGTATTCATGTTGACCGACATAAATTTTGAATAAAAAATTTAACACTAATATTCNCCACCAAGAGAAATTTCTTGTCCAAAGGGGCCCTCGGGAGGGGTCCCACAATATCCATCCCCCATTGAACGAACGGCCATGGACTTGTCAATAAGTTCAAATCTCCTACTAATTTTCGGATGATGGGAGCAAATTTCTGACATTTGTCACACTTCTGAACATAGCTCTTAACATCCTTCTACATATATGACCACCAATATCCTTGAGTCATTGCTCAATGTGCGAGGGATCTCCCTTTTGTATGATTCCCACATATATCTTCATGAACCTCATAGAGCAAAGACTCCATGTTGTCCTTGGGGACATAAAGCAAATGCTGCCCCAAGAAGGATCTCTTATATAACTGATGATTTGTAGATATCCAGAACCTGGAAGCCTTGGGTCTAATCTTCCTAGCCTCTCTGACATCCTCAGGATATGGGGTTTATCTAACCCGAATGCGCTTCTTGCATTTACATTAGCAATACTTGCTCGGCCTTCGTTTCTTCTATACTCAAGCTTTCTCAGTTTTTGATGACGATGCGCCGAGTTACCTCTAAGCCAACGCCAAAGCTAGACAAGTTAATGCGTCGGTGTGGGTATTGCGATCCCTTGGAATCTGTGAGACTTCCACCTTTTCTAACTTCTCAATTCTAGATTTTGCCTTCATCCTGCTGTCTCGAACCTCGAAGTCACCATTAATCTGATTCAGTACCAGCTGGGAGTCGCAGAAAATCCGGAGGTGCCTAATCCCGACCGAGTACGCAATATCGAGTCCTATCAACAGTGTCTCGTACTCGACCTCATTATTGGTTGCTTTGAACATTAATATGGTAGCTCGCTCTATTATGAATCCTCTTGAGCTGGCCAGTAGTAGGCCTATCCCTGTCCCCTTTGTGTTCGAGGACCCATCAACATGAAGGTTCCAAATGTTGTCATCAAAAGCTTTCACCTCTTGTGGGGGCTCGGACGCAGAGAACTCGGCAATGAAGTCGGCCAGGATCTGCCCTTTAATTGAAGTATGAGATTTGTACCTTATTTCGAACTCCCAGAGTTCTACAGCCCACTTGACGACCTTTCTCTATATGTCAACTTTATGCAGAATGGGCTTGAGAGGCCGATCAGTTAAGACTTTTATAGCGGGAGCCTAGAAATAGTGCCTGAGTTTTCTCGCTGAAACTACTAACGCTTGAACAAGTTTCTCAATCGGTAAGTACCTTATTTTTGCGTCAAGCAAGGTCATGCTCACGAAATAGATGTGCCTTTGTGCCTCTTCGCTTTCTCTTACAAGGGCTCCACTAACGGCCCCTTCTGAAATAGGTAAGTAGAGGTTGAGTACTTCCCTCGTCGTTGGGACAGACAAGGTTGGAGGACACTTCAAGTACTCCTTAATCCCCTCAAGTGCTCGGCCATATTCCTTGTCCCAGGTACCCTTAAGCATGGTGAAAAAAGGCTTGCACCTATCGGAGGATTTGGAGATAAATCGGTTGAGGGCCGTTAGCATTCTGGTTAGCTTCTGGATATCTTTGCCGGTCTTCGGTGCCTAGATGTTCTGCACAGCTTGTATTTGCTCGGGATTTGCCTCGATGCCCTTGTGGGTGACTAAATATCCCAAGAATTTTTTCGAGCTCAACTCGAAAGCACACTTTGAGGCATTAAGCTTCAGACCATAGCTCTAGAGTATGGTGAATGTTGTTCCGAGGTCTTGGAGGTGATCGGCGCTCTCTTTGTTTTTCACTATAATATCATCAATGTACACTTCTATAGTCACGTCGAGTTGCTGTTTGAAAATCTTGTCCATCAAGCGTTGATAAGTTGCCCCGGTATTTTGCAATCCAAATGGCATCACTGTGTAGCAATAGATCCCTCGAGGCGTAATGAACGCTTCTCTTGATTTGATTCATGTAAAAGGATTTGGTGGTAACCTGCCCAAGCATCCATGAAGGTGATACATTTGTGGCCCGCAGTTGCATCCACCAGGTGATCAACCTTTGGCAGTGGATACTCGTCCTTGGGACATGCCTTGTTCAAGTCTGTGAAATCCACGCAAACTCGCAACTTCTCCTCTTTTTTCTTGGCACATATTGTGTTGGATAACCACTGGGGAATTGCACCTCTGATAGAGCCTGCCCCCAACAACTTATCCACCTCATCATCTATTACCTTCGCATGGTGAGGTGTCGTTCTTCAAACCTTCTGTCTTACGGATTTGAAGGATGGGTCAACATAGAGCCGATGGGTCACCATATCAGGATTTATCCCCGTTATCCCGGCTTATGTCCACGCAAAGACGTCGGCGTTTCGGCGTAGGAATAAAATCATGTCGGACTTCTTGGCATCATTTACCGACGCCCCTATCAAAAAGTACCTCTCCTTGTCGTCAGAGTTCAGAAAAACTATGACCAAGGCTTCAGTGGAATGGTCGATTGGTTCCATAATGGGTTCATCCACCTTAGGCCGATCGTACTGTGATTGCTATTTGGTAACCACTACTTTGGGATCACGCTCTTGAACTCGGCTATTGACTCCAATCTTTACTGCGGTGTAGAAACAGCTCTTTGACGACGCCTAATTACCACGAATCTCCATAATACCCCTNTTTTTTTTTTTTTTTTTAGCTCAGCCCCAATCTTGGGTGGGTCTACCTCTTTGAATACTTTTCAAATAAATTTACCAAAATACACATTTTTGAACTTATTTACCAAATTACAGCACTTTTTGAAAGTGGATTCAATAATTTCGTTTTTAATAAAATGCGGATTCAAAAACTCCGCTCTTGACCCCTTTTTTTGTAAAAAAAATATAGACATTAAAAAAAGCATATTTATTAAATACGCTTTCTATTGATCTCCCTCACAATACTGTGTGTCATTTTTGCTCATTCTTTACCAATTCTCATCTCTAAAAACCCTCAAAATCTTTCAAAAGCAACCANTTTATTTTTAAATAAATGGGTTAATGGTGTTAATTTTGAGTTTAATGAGTTGAACTGGATATGAGCCGTTTATATTTCTTGTTCGCGTGTCAGGTCATTTTTAAGTTTGTATAAAGTGATAATCAAGTTCGTGTCATAAAATTTGTATTGAGTTCGAGTCGTATCATCGTGTTGAGCTAAAAATTTTTACCCCTATCTAAAATGAAAAAAATATATTTTTTTTAATTCAAAATTTTAATTTTAATTTTTTTATTTTTTTAAAAAAAAAAAAAAATATATATATATATATATATATATATATATATATATATATACATATTTTATCACTATANATTTTTTTAAAAAAAAAAAAAATATATATATATATATATATATATATATATATATATATACATATTTTATCACTATATTTTTATATGAAATTAATGTATACATAATATATGTATATATCAAAAAATATATCTATATAATAAAATAGCTAAGTGTTTGAAATATTATCTCATACATATTTTTTTCCCTCAAAATTATCTCATCATCTATTTCTATCACATGTTTAATAATTTAATATTTGATTAATTTGTAATTTAACATAATTCTTATTTCAGACATTATCTATACACGATAATATACATATGTTGAGAAAATTTATCAAATTACGTATTTTTGTCTATATTTAAAAAAAAATAATGGATAAAAATAAATTTTAAATGATGTAATCAAATAAATGAAAGAAATAAAAATTATTATTTAATACGATGGGATTAATTTTTTAAACGTTCAAATTTTATGTTTCATTGTACTTTTAGGCACGGGTTATGACTAGTAGACAAATAAGATATATCTCAACATAAATAATTAATTTTTTATTCACTTTTCTTCCGATTTTAGAGGGATTGATTTTGATAAGTTAGAAGAAAAGTTAATCCATCAACTTTTCCATCATTCCTATTTACCTTCTTTATCAAATATGAAATTTTATTTATCCCTTAAATTGTTCGTCCATATAACTTTTTATTTTTTTATTTTTTCATCGTACCAAATAAAGAACATTAGGTGTTGAGAGTGGCACTGGATCTTTGGTTGTGGTGTTTTGGCATCCAATGCCCGTCTCTCCAACACCATCGGACACTATATTATTGAGCGGATCATATGCTGCTTGTAGCCTTCTTGTAGCTTCTGTGAGGAGAGAAAAATGACTTTTGGAAATTCTGAGGTAGTTTAGTTGGACAGATTACATAATCAATAAATGGCTTTTCTGGTTTATGTTTTCCTGCTTTCTAATAATGGGTTCCTTGATTCTTTCAAAGACGCTTTATGTTCCCATAGGTTCCTGTAAGGATTCTTTCCTGTCAATTTTGTAAGATTCATTTTCTCATGGTGGCAAATAGCTTACATTGTTTTTCTTGGAGGTATCTTTAGGAACCTCAGTACAACCATCACTTGGTTCGGTGGATTTTTTTTTTTTTTTTTAGCTCAGCCCCAATCTTGGGTGGGTCTACCTCTTTGAATACTTTTCAAATAAATTTACCAAAATACACATTTTTGAACTTATTTATTAAATTAGAGCACTTTTTGAAAGCGAATTCAATAATTTCGTTTTTAATAGAATGTGGATTCAAAAACTCCGCTCTTGACCCTTTTTTTTTTAAAAAAAATATAGACATTAAAAAAAGCATATTTATTAAATAAGCTTTCTATTTATCTCCCTCACAATACTGTGTGTCATTTTTGCTCATTCTTTACCAATTCCCATCTCTAAAAACCCTCAAAATCTTTCAAAAGCAACCTTGATTTGATTGATCAACACAATTGGGTCGGTGGTGGAAGTGTTTGGTGCTTCACGGTGCTGGGTTTGGTTGATTCGCGGTGGTGGTGGTGGTTCAACACAATTCTGGTCTTGCATATCACTCCAGGTTTGGTGGGTAGGATTAGTTTTCTTTGAGAAACTAGTGGTGGTGGTGGTATTTGGTGCTTTCCAGTCGTGCTATGGTGTTTGGTGCTTTTTGAAGAAGATGGCTCAAGAACAAAACCCTTCACTGCTCTTGGGATGCTTTGTATTGTGAAGAAGAACATTGGGAGGAAGTGAGAGAGAACGATTTTGAGGAAGAAGAAGAAGAGAGCTACTATAGTGACTGTATAAGCCCCAAATCTCCATTGTTGCAAGAACATGATTTGTTGTGGGAAGAGGAAGAGTTGTCTTCTTTGTTCTCAAAAGAACAGAAAAATCCTCTATATAATAGCTTTCAAACCGATCCATCATTGGCTGAGGCTCACTGGAAAAGAATCCATGGAAGTCGTCACCAAAAGAACAGTGGAAGTCGAAGACCATGAAAAGCGTGTTTAATAAACACGCTTTAACACGATTTTCACAAAAAACAGTAAAAAGCGTGTTTATAAAACACGTTTTTCTCATTGGCCAAAAATTTTATTTTCTCGTAAAAGTGGGGTTGTTGAATCCGTTTTTTAACAAAAGTGGGGTTATTGAATCCGTTTTCAAAAAGTGCCGTAGTTTGATAAATAAGTTAAAAAATGTTATATTTTGATAAATTTATTTGAAAAGTACGGTATTTTGGTAATAAATTCCTGTTTGTTGTACAGCGCAGTTGGTAACATCCGCAAAAATANGAACACTGGGACGCCGAGTCCCTCATTGATGAGTCTCCTTGCATCCTGGGAGGCTATTTGAAGAAGGGCTTGTCATTTATCTTGTGCAATATTTTATAAATAGGCTCCTTGAAGACCGTACTCACCCCTTGAAAGGACAAACGATTCGGGGGCGGGATGGGTGCCTTTCTCCTTACAGGCGGCTCCTTCTCCCTTTTTCTCGGCACAGGGGCCCTATTCTCAGGCATGATGAATTCTTCCTCCACCCGGACATACTTGTTTATCTAGGCCATCAAGTCCTTCATGTCTCCTAGAGCTCTCTTAGTAAGTGATTTGTAGAGGTCGGTGTCTCGGGACAATCCCAACCGAAATGATGTTGCGGCCATTGCCTCCGAGCACGTCTCGACCTTGTTAACCTCCTCCCTATACCAGATTGCGTACTGTCGGAGGGACTCTCCACCTTTCCGTTTGAGCATCAGTAAAACGTCGATGTCTTTTGGCCTTTTATTGCTAGTGATGAATCGAGCTACGAAAAGCTTGGTCATTTGCCTCCAAGATCTGATGCTCTTAGGAGCTAAGTTCTCGTACCACTTCATGGCAATGTCTCATAGGTTCATGGGAAAAACTTGGCACAGTACCCTTTGATTAGTGTTACAAATGGACATCAACTGATTGTACTGTCGCAGGTGACTCTTAGGATCTGTCCTCCCATCATAAACTTTGAATCGGGGGACGGTGAATTTCTTTGGCATTTTAGTCTCCCTGATCGCCCGTAGGAACGGGGAAATGATTTGCTCGTTCTCGTCTCCATCTCACTCAGGTTCGGATCTCCGGTGTCTATCATCGAGGCGCGCCTGGGGGTCCCCTCAGGGTTTTCCTTCTCTCGGCCTCCTCACCGTGGACTCCGCTTGGGACTCATTTGCCATGGTATCTCCTGGTAGCTTACGACAGAGATCCCACCGGGACAGGCCCCCCTTGTGGTGATCCCACTCTAATTCCTCCTCGAGAGCAGGCTTTCCCCAGCTTCGTGGGTTACGCCTCTCGGTTGTGCGCCCTCGCAAGCTTCCCCCGGGAGCATCTCGCCTTACACCCTTGGAGTCGCCTCAACTAAGACTCTGATCCTCCTGCTCACCGCTTCGCCAACTAGCACTCCCCGACTGCTCGAAACCATCGTCCTTCTCAAGTTACTTGATGCGCTTTCCCATCNGACTTCTGTCTCTCTTTTCCATCATATAGAATTTCTTTGCTGCCGCCCTACTGTTTCCATTGAGTAAAGTAGCACATTGATTAGGGACCCAGAGCATGAATTAAGGTTGCGGTAACGTTCATTGACATGGAGGACACCAAGACGCATCGATTGTGGTGTAGTTTTAGACGATACACGAATGCTACATGTAATAAAAAGTTGGACACAGCAAGAGGTTAAAGTAATATCACGACAATGCAAAGCTATAAAAGGTCAATATGTCCCTAATTGATGATGAGGACTTGATCTATTCGATCTAGACGTTTTCAAGTTAGCCACGAGTCAAGTGAGAAACGTGGTTTGTATGGAACGTGTGTCGGTCTTCGAATGGAAGATGCCGTCTTGGATATGGCTTGGTCAGATTGTATCAGTATCTATTGACATTTGAACCATTGGCTAGAAATCTCAAGGAGATGAAATAACTGAGCCACATGTATTTTTTAATTAGTGTGAAATCCAATTGGAATTTTCTCAAAGAGTGTAAGGTTGTGCATGGCAATGTTAGCTCACATTGAAGGGCTTACAATCAATCTTTTCCTAAATATTCATTTACATGATTAAAACTACAAACTGATATGGTAGAGTTTGGGCGCCGGACCCCTGCAAATTTCCCCTATTGATCATGAAGGACAAATGATTGCAGATCACGTGCTAGCGTTGATCTAAATTTCAAAAAATAAAATAAGAACAAAAGAAAAATATTAGGAAAATTCAATAAAAGACACTCTAAGAGAAGAATTGGCTTCTGATGATCTTCCCAACATTCTTTTTGTAGATGGTCATGTTTCCAACAGCCAATAGGTCATTTTCTGCATCAGACACTATATTGGCAGTTTTATCATCCACTAAGGGCAAATGTTTACATAAGCTCTCAAATAAGTAAATTGCATTTTTAGCCACCTATCACCCAAATTTAGGTTTATCATGTACCTCTTTCAGTTCTGATTTTTATGGTTAAAAATAGGACAAGAAAGAAAAATGAAAACTGAAAACACCCTGATTTGATAGAAGTTCGGCAGGAAAAGCTTATCAGAGACAGGTTATACGAATTCCTCAAGTGGCCAAAACTTTCATTAATCCATGTTAGCTACTTCTTGAGAAGTAGAAAAATGAGTATAAAGCTTCCATATTCCAAAAACTGATGTCGTAATGAGCAAAATATACATTCCCTTAAATATTAAATAAGCACAAATAGAAAATATTAAGGGTATTTCTTTCTTATACTTCCTACAAATTTTATGTCATCAATGTAACACATATCCACTCCTTAACCAGAAAGCATCCCCAGCTACATATCAAGCTCCAAGTATAGTTTTATTTTGGCATGCGTATCTGGCATGTAAGCTAATATTCAGCATATCACCTGNCACTCCTTAACCAGAAAGCATCCCCAGCTACATATCAAGCTCCAAGTATAGTTTTATTTCGGCATGCGTATCTGGCATGTAAGCTAATATTCAGCATATCACCTACTTCTACAGATGTGGATAGCTCCCTGGGTAGTAGTTATTCCATGGCACAGGGGTTTTTTGTGGTTGGCAAATTTCCATCGTAAGTACATTGTGGGATGTTTGGATTCCTTACAAGCTGAGGCCCAATTGGAACTTTGTTGGTTTTTGGACAAATATCCTGCACGCCAACACAATAATCTCTTTCAGAAAATATAGATATATAATGCAATATTGTAGAACTGATTGAATTAGGCAAGCTTTCAAAACGCTTAATATATGTACACTATTGACTGGCTCTTGTTACATGCCTGATGCATTCTCAACATACTTGTTGCTATGGCATTTACAGTGGATTTCATCACAGCATAGGCAAAGATTTACAGCTTCTGAATATGGATTGGTAGTCCGAATCATATGNAAAATATAGATATATAATGCAATATTGTAGAACTGATTGAATTAGGCAAGCTTTCAACACGCTTAATATATGTACACTATTGACTGGCTCTTGTTACATGCCTGATGCATTCTCAACATACTTGTTGTTATGGCATTTACAGTGGATTTCATCACAGCATAGGCAAAGATTTACAGCTTCTGAATATGGATTGGTAGTCCGAATCATATATTTATTTGTAGGCCTATATTTATTGCATTTGTTTCTGATAGAATGGTCTGGTTATATAAAGTTGTGTTTAGGGGTCATTCATCACTGGGTTTTGGAATTTAGTAACACGTTTTAATCAACTTACATTGGCCTGGAAGGGTATGTCTTTGTGGATGCTTAAGCATGTTGCAGGTTATGTAAGGATGAGTACATAGTTCTGTCTCTTACTGTGTTATCCATCTGAATATGGGCAGATGAGTGACATTGGTAACTTACACTATAGGTGAATGTTAGAAGTCCAACTTTTTAGGTCCATGCGCATTTTTTAAGAAATACTTTTAGTTACACTGACTAAACCGTAGGTCCATGCACACAGGGCAATTGGGATCATTTGAATGGCTAGAATTATTTTATATAGTTAAATTTCTGGATTTTCTCATTTTGTCTATTCTTGGATTTCTTTTCTGTTAATTAGCTTTGAATGACAGAAAAAGTTTACAACTAGCTCATTGTTATTCTTTGGAATGCTAATTAAAGCATGAGGGCACAGTTACCTGACTTCTTTTGCGCCTTAATGTGATGACTTGATAATGTTGGCATTTGAATAATTCCTGCCNGGAGAGAAAAATGACTTTTGGAAATTCTGAGGTAGTTTAGTTGGACAGATTACATAATCAATAAATGGCTTTTCTGGTTTATGTTTTCCTGCTTTCTAATAATGGGTTCCTTGATTCTTTCAAAGACGCTTTATGTTCCCATAGGTTCCTGTAAGGATTCTTTCCTGTCAATTTTGTAAGATTCATTTTCTCATGGTGGCAAATAGCGTACATTGTTTTTCTTGGAGGTATCTTTAGGAACCTCAGTACAACCATCACTTGGTTCGGTGGATTTTTTTTTTTTTTTTTAGCTCAGCCCCAATCTTGGGTGGGTCTACCTCTTTGAATACTTTTCAAATAAATTTACCAAAATACACATTTTTGAACTTATTTATTAAATTAGAGCACTTTTTGAAAGCGAATTCAATAATTTCGTTTTTAATAGAATGTGGATTCAAAAACTCCGCTCTTGACCCTTTTTTTTTTAAAAAAAATATAGACATTAAAAAAAGCATATTTATTAAATAAGCTTTCTATTTATCTCCCTCACAATACTGTGTGTCATTTTTGCTCATTCTTTACCAATTCCCATCTCTAAAAACCCTCAAAATCTTTCAAAAGCAACCTNATTCCTGAAATCCTTCCTTCACAGGGACAGCATGACAGTAGAAGATAAGCCTGTAGCCACCAGCATGTTATCAAAGTCAGTATTATAATGAAATGCTAACTAACCATGATTGTGTATTTGGCTGCTTCTACATGTTGGGTGTGTTCCTAGATGAGCTATAAAGAGGATGTCAGGAGATATTTCTTAAACCTGTTCTTTAGAGTACCCAAATCTGGACAGGTAGTCAATTGCGTTGAGCACTGCACGTTTGTAAGCGACACTGGCATCGAGGAAGTGTTGTCTCCCACTTTCGTCCACACTAATGCCTTCAAATACCAACCATTCTGAGAACCTTGGCTCAACGGGGCCTATCTCGAATATTGGGTTGACATGTAGGGGAGTGGGGCCCATCGGAGTGAGGTATTCTTTCATGCCACCCCTTATGATTTCACACCTGATAACCAGTGGAATAACCCTAAAATAAGTTTTGAAGAAAAAATGGAATTGTGTTGGGAAATACTCGTAGCAATTGAATTAATACGATGACGAGAAAATAAATAAAATAAACCAAAACACACAAAGAAAGACAACACAAATATTTAGGCAGTTCCATAAAATTCTTGCCTACGTCCATGAGGCATGATCGGATCTCCCTCTTCATTATTGCAAAAAATTGAATACAATAATACCAGCCTCACCACTCAAATTTTATACCCCAAAGCCGAGCTTAATACACCCACTCAATACATAAAAAAGAGAGTTTTTCTATTAGACTCTCGTTTTTCTCACTGAATTTGGATCCTAGAATGCAAAGATTGCAAATCTATTTATAGGTATGAGGCTCCATGGCAATTTCTTAATAATTGCCAAAATCAAGGAAAATGGTACAAGGCCAAGAGAATAGGTTTAGAATTACCCATGCTAAACCTCTCTAGCATTTTCTCCATGTATTTCTTTTGTGATACCTGATGCATAAATTAGTCTCGTGCAAGATCAACAATCGAGTGTGTGTGAAGAGGTGTAATTAATGGACAATAAATAATGCAATCAATGACAGTAATGTAAATATTGAGTCAACACAAAGATATATAGTGGTTCGGTCTTGGTAACTTATTCTACTCTCAAAAAAGGGCAGCGGTGGTCGGGGGTCTTTATTAATGAATAAAGTAGGGACAGAAGGCTCTGGGAGATGTGTGTCCAGAGAGAGGTACAATAGCTAGGAGAGAGAAAAATTGAGTGTGTAGAGAGATGCCAAGGTATGTTGAGAAATGTGTCTCCCTATGTGGAGAGAGCTTACAATTTATAAGTATGGTGAGGAGGTGAGGAGGGACGGTGACGTGAGTGTGAGAGTACTACTTCTTTGGGGAGGATAGTTACAAAAGGTAAGTACAATTAATTCTTGTGTATCCATCTCAATGATCTCTCCCCCACGTGCTCTTATCTTTCCAGACTCCTTGAATCTTGAACTGAGTTGAATTGATAAAGCGGGCTTGGGCTTACCTAATTTATTGGGTTTGACCCAATTAGATCTGGGCTCGTCATTTGCCCCCCCATGCCCCAAAACTCTTGCTGTGTCAAAGATTTTGAGGGCATGGATGAGCTTCTCATTTCTTGTCCTCCACGACATAGATTCTTCTTCCTCTTACTCAGTTTGTGCTTCAAGGGTTTGCTTTCTCTTTCATCCCATTTTGTTACGGTAATGCCTTTATGCTAGAGTGGGTTTCATTTAAAAACCACCTTCTTCCCCATTTGGGCATTCTCCATAAGGGTTTCATAGGTTCAATGTTGATTCACTCCATTACACTCCTTTGCAACCCATTTCCTTGAGAGATTAGATCCTTCATTGGGGACACTAGATCCTTCATTGCAGGTTGGGAAGGATCTAAGGAGAGAGGTTTTATAGAGAAGATCTTTGAAGTGGTCTCATCAATGGAGAAGAATGGGGATCCAAGAGGCATATCAATGGGTCAAGAAGTTATCCATGGCAGAGTTGAGGTCGCTGAAGGAGCTGGGGGTTTCAAAGCCCACACGAGGAGGGCCCATGGCGAAGCCGGCGAGTTGTAGGGCGACGCTAGCCAGTCGTCGGGCGACGCCCACAGCAGGAGGGAGAGAGTACAAGATGGAGAGATGGGGGAGCCCAACCCCATGGGCGACGCCAATGCTGCGGAGAGAGGGCAAGAAGTAGAGATGGAGGAGTCTAGCCCCATGGACGACGCCAGCGCAGCACTGGGTGGCGCCATCTTCGCGAGTAGCCTCGACGTGGCATCAGGTGCAGGGAAAGAGGGCTTGGGCGACGCTCGTAGGGGAGTGGGTGGCACCCGTGGTGTAGGAGGCCTAGTGGTCGGCGCCAACGTGGTAGGCGAGGTAGACGGTACCCCAGGCGCTAAGGTATATGACACCCAAGGTGTTGAGGCATGAGTCCAGGCAACAGTGGTGACTTGAATGCACTGGGCAATGTTAGCGATGGTTCAAACACGTTAGGCAACTCCAGGAAGCACGCGGGTAAGATATTATTCTGAACTTTTGTGGCATATATTTTGAACGTTTCTTTGCAGCTATCATGACATACCTTTAGTATGCAATTTAGAAAACCAGTCGAAGCGCATCATGGGCGTAGCTGGATACATCTCAGATTGCTAGAGAGTCCTTGTTGAGTTGAAACTGATTGCCTTGACATTGACTTTGACCTTCTCTTGGTTTTGTTTGTTGCTGGGCACCCATTCTGACGAGCGCATCATGATGTTACTCGAGACACTGGGAGAGGCAAGAGGCCTGTCGTAGACAATGGTTCTAAGATGACCTCCATATTTAGCTCCATTGACTATGACAAAGATATTGCAGGCATTGTATCTTCGTACCGCATCCTTCCCGCTGTAATGTGTCGTCGCGCGAAGGAGAATGAGCCAACATGTTATGACTTTTCAAATGAGATTGCACTTTATGAGGATGTGTTGGGGGCGGCTTTGAGGTTCCCGATACCTGGGCCTATTTGTCGGGTTCTGGGACACCTGTCGCTAGCTCCCCGGAGATTGGCGCCCAACGGATGGAGGGTGATATTGACATTCTTTTCACTATGGCAGCTGGTCTATAGTGCTGACATCCCTCCCCCATTCGAGGAGTTCTTGACCACGTATGTGCTCCTAAAAAATCCCATCCCTCATCAGGAGTGGTACCGCTTNGTTCCCGATACCTGGGCCTATTTGTCGGGTTCTGGGACACCTGTCGCTAGCTCCCCGAAGATTGGTGCCCAACGGATGGAGGGTGATATTGACATTCTTTTCACTATGGCAGTTGGTCTATAATGCTAACATCCCTCCCCCATTCGAGGAGTTCTTGACCACGTATGTGCTCCTAAAAAATCCCATCCCTCATCAGGAGTGGTACCAGCCTGCTCCGAGCTCAGGTAAGTTTAGCCTTGGGCTTCCTTAGAATTGTCATAGCTGGAAGACCAAGTTCTTCTTTGTTGAGGTGGGACACCGTCCCCAGGACCAGGCTAGGTAAGGACTCCACTTTTGATTTTACTTCTAGTTGTCACATACCTGCTCTTATTGTGCGACTGACTTCTTTATAGCTTCACTGACATTGTCCGCGGAGCAAGAGGGTAGGNGGACTCCACTTTTGATTTTACTTCTAGTTGTCACATACCTGCTCTTATTGTGCGACTCTTATTGTGCGACTGACTTCTTTATAGCTTCACCGACATTGTCCGCGGAGCAAGAGGGTAGGCTGCTGATGGTACACGACTATCCATTCAAGGAATTCTCAGGAATTATGTCCGCTTCAGGTCATTCCAAGGATACTCCCAAGCCGAAGAGGAAAGATATTTGATCTTTCCAATAAACTCTTCATGGTTACAACTGCCCCATCTATAATAGGACTCCCTTCAAGTTTACACAATTTCCCCTTTATGACAACTATGACACCTTTAACAATTTTTAGAACCTCATTTGTTGCCGTGAAGGTGAAACCATTTGAATTAAATGAATCCAAGGAAATTAAATTCTTTTTAAGGTCAGGAACATACTGCACATCACCCAGTGTCCCAATCTTCTAACAATACCATCAAACATTTTAATTTTAATGGTCTCAATTCTAATGGTCTTGCAAACTGAATCATTACCCATTAGAACTGTTCCTCCATTATAGGGTTTACAAGTATTAAACCATTCTCTATATGAACGCAAGTGATACAAACATATAGAATTCAATATCCATTTGTCAACAAGATAATTCATACCTATGGTGACTTATAATAAATTACCATTTCCGTTCAAAATATCCTATGCAATGCCCGTTTGAACTGAATTTGGAGATTGTGCTTTGATTATAGTTCCTCTTTATGGCAATAGTGACACTTGCATTTCCCGTTATTCCTCTAATTTGATTTAGAGTGTGATCTCCCTCTTCTATGGTTGTTCCTTACACATTGCCTTATTCAATTTTGGCCACCAACCCTTATACTTGAGAACTATTTTCTGACTTTTTGAGTGCCACAACCTTGAAAAAAATCATTATAACCTCATCAACGTTGAGCGTACCTTTTCCACCCAAAAGTGCAGTCATAAGTGCGTCAAAGGGATGTGGAAGAGAAGCCAAAAGAAGAATGAACCTTATCCTCTTCTCCAATTTTCACATTAACATTTACTAGTTGAGTAATAATTTTGTTGACAACTTTTTTCATGACGCTAAACATAAGTTTCAAATAGAAAACTATATTTTACCTTTGGGGCGAGACCTAAACAGATGGTACTCACAACCTTCATCTTAAATTCCTTCAATCCTCATTTTTAATGGATTTCAATTTGTTTTCTATGCCGAAAAGTGCTTTGGATAGCCCTTTCTGCACCAAAATGTCTTTAACTGTGCTTTGTCACCTCGAATTTGCCCATCAAAATTCTATTTTTTGCCATCGTATTGAGTACTAGTAATTAAGAACAACACGCACTGTCCTTAATTCCAACCTTTCCATACCGAACATGGAAGCTCTGATACCACTTGCTGGGAAATACTTGCAACAATTGGATTAATATGATGACGAGAAAATAAATAAAATAAACCAAATCACACAAAGAAAGACAATTCCAATATTTACCTGGTTCAGTAAAGTTCTAGCGTATGTCCACGATGCGTGATCCAGCCCCCTTCTTCACTATTAAGAAAAATTGANGAAGCTCTGATACCACTTGCTGGGAAATACTTGCAACAATTGGATTAATATGATGACAAGAAAATAAATAAAATAAACCAAATCACACAAAGAAAGACAATGCCAATATTTACCTGGTTCAGTAAAGTTCTAGCGTATGTCCACGATGCGTGATCCAGCCACCTTCTTCACTATTAAGAAAAATTGCGTACAATGTTCCAAGCCTCATCACTCAAATTTTATACCCCAAACTTGAGCTTGTTACACTCACCCTTATACACCTCACTCAACTCACCCATTCAATAAATAAATAAGAGGAGACTTTTCTATTGGACTCTCGCTTTTCTCGCAAAATTCGGATATTAGAATGCAAAGATTGCAAGCCTATTTATATTTTATAAGCATGAGGCTCCATGAAAATTTCGTAATAATTGTCAAAATCATGGGAAATGGTATAAGGTCAAGAGATTAGGTTGAAGACTTTTTAACCTCACATTTTCTTCATTTTTGTTCCTATTGTAATTTTGGCTCCGCATCATTTGTTGAATTTCATAGTCAACAATTGGGTTAATACGATGACGACAAAATAAATAAATCAAATAAATCAAAACACTTTAAGAAAGTCAACACTGGTATTTACTTGGTTCGATAAAGTCCTGCCCACGTCAAAGAGATGTGATTAGTGATCCGGTCATTTTCTTTACTATTGAGAACAATTGAGTACTACAATACAAGCTTCACCATTCAAATTTACTATCCCAAGCCAGAGCATTTAAGCTATTGTACATCGTACTTAACTCACCCACCAATACCTGTAATGTAGACAATAGTTATATACTAAACTCTCTCGCTCAAAATTGGATGCCAGAAATTTAAAGTTTCAATATCTATTTATAGGTAAATACTAGAGTGGAAATATGGTAATTATTGCAAGAAGACAAAGGCAATTTTGTAGCAAATGAAAAGAAGTCAGAAGTCTTCTTTTTCATGGGCCCTCCACAGTTCATTTCGAAGATATGCACTGCATTCTCCTTCGGCGCAATGTTCCTCCAATCCGGCGGCCAAACAATTGTCCACAGGCTATGACTTCGAGCCACCAATCACAAAAAATTTCCACCTTGGCAAGAATTCAATAACCTCCACATGAAACATCAAGTCCGCATCTTGATATAGATGCCCATCCTCATACCTTGGGATGTTTCATTAATCTCACATTACAAGAGATTGATCAAGTCCAAGCAATACTTGAACTTTTGTGTAGTGACCGACTTTGTCATCATATCAGCAACATTATTTTCTTTATAAATTTTCATTAAATTCTCCTTCCTTTCTTCTAATCATTATTTGAGAGCGCGACACCTCACGTTGATATATTTTCTGATGACATGATAAACTTAATTCTTTGCTAAATGAATAGCACTTGCGCGGTCACAAAACAACTCTAAGCCAGTTACTACACAAAAGTTCAGGCATTATTTGGGTTTGATCAATCTTTCGCACTGGTAGATTGACTGGACGCCCCAAGGCATGGAGATGGGCATTTGCATCAAAATGTGGACCCGATATTTCAGGTGAAAGTTATTCACTTCTAACCAAGGTCGAGATTTGTTGGACAATGACTCCAAATTCAACAAATGACACAGAGCCGAAATTGCAACAGAAACAAAAATGAAGAAAACGTGAGGTTGAAAAGTCTTCAACCTGATCTCTTGGCCTTGTACCATTTCCCCTAGTTTTGAGTTTTGACAATTATTACGAAATTGCCATGGAGCCTTATGCCTAAAAATAGGCTTGCAAACTTTGCATTCTAGCATCCTGAAACATTTTGTTTGGTGACAGTTTTCTCTGACATGTACATAAATAAACCCTTCATGCATAGGTCCTATTGTTCAAAATACATCGCTTCCATTTAGGTTTATGATTAGAGTGAAGGATGACTTCTGTTGGAGTATTTTTTAGGATCATCTAGATGAAAGGGTCCCCTAGACTGAGATCCTTGCTTTAAGGTCTTTTAACATAGTTGATCAATCTTGGGTTGACTAGTGTGTCTATTTCTCCAGCAAATTTTGTAGTGATGATTGTCAAACATATTTCTATCTTGGCACTGCTGATACTGTGCCCTTAGGCTTTTCGCTTTTCTCAAAGGGCTGTAGTGGGGTGGTGGTGTTATGTGTTACTTGGCATGGGCACATGAAATGTGCAGAAGTGCTCGTGCTAGGCAATGACATAACATGGGTATGATATCAGATATGTGCTTAACATGACACCAGTCTTACGTGTATCCTACAGGCATGTTCGACTAAGGGAGGGAGGAGAAATTCAAATTCCTTGAAGACTAATGGAAAACTTGCTCAATCATTTTTATGATATTGTTGTAACGCCCCAAAAACCCCCTTGGGTGACATTACATTCTAAAAACTATTCACCGCATGAGAGCATTAAGTAAATCCATCACGACGAAAGTTTCATTCATCCACCATTCATATTTTAACAAAATTTGGGCAAAATCTCCTCTGTTCGGGGAGCTCTACCCAAAACACAACCAGTGCAATTCTACTGTAATGACCACACCGAGTCCATTTAACTACCATAAAATCAATCCATCCAATTTACATGTTATCCCAAAAGAATAGGTCAAGTTATGGCCTTTACATTCGCACAAAAGTACTATAATACACAGCGGAATTTATAAAATAAAAACTAGGCTATACAATTCTCCCAAAAGATTATCCAAGTCTATAACAAAAGAAAGGGGGGTCGCTCTAAGCATCCACCTCGGGATCCACGCTCCCTTCTATCGGAGTCTCCAAATAAGTCGGCCCCTCGACTCCTAGCTCCTCGTCAAAGGCAAAATCTGAAAGGTGGGGAAGTAGGGGGGTGAGCACAAGGCTCTCTAGGAGGATCCTTCCAAACCCATTCAAGGTTTTGAAATCAAGTAAAACAGGTAGGTCACGTTTCGCACATACATATAAATGAATTTTGAAGTAAAGTAAGGACATTTTAAAGGAGATCTCAAGTTTGTACAATAATAAGGACTTGAACGAGAATAAAACCACGTTTAATTGACAAACAATTTTCAACATAATCCACTCCACCATACACCATTTCCACAAGGTATCGCGGCATCCCATACTACCCGAAACTCTTGGAAAAATAATATTTGGTACAATGAACAAAAATTTCTATTTGGTACCACTCAAGTAGGTTGTCGCTTCTCATGAATCTACCCGACGATTCTACCTCGTTCACCCATTTCCACTAACAATCACAGACCAATTTAGGAAGGGCGTGTACCGTCTCATACGGCCTTGACGAGATCCTCCCAAGGTGTCTAGTATACTAACCCTTTTCCCCGGTATCCGTGAACAATAGTGGTCACTGTCACCACAGTGATCCAATACAAGCATTAGGCAACCATCTCACCCCCCCTTGGGATAGACTAACCTCTAATGCTCTACGGCAGTTTTCGAAGGTAATCCAAGTCCCTCACAACACCATACACAAGAGTGACATACCAACAATATACTCAACCTCATATACAAGCAAATTCCATGATGTTTCCCCAAATTTTCACAAGCAAGATACATAATAGAACAATTTAAGAAAATATACCCATTTCGCAAATCATGTAACAAGAGACAAGTTTAAAGGAAATAAGCATGAGATCATCAATACAATCATTTTACTACCCAACACAAAGTTCTAGAATTTTCGAAATCAAGATGATGTGAAGATATAGAGAAAAATCCATATTTCCCCCAAAAACTAGAGTTTGATGGATTTCCAACCATCATTTTGTTCAAATCATGGGAATGTTTGTAAACATACCAAGGAACAAGAAACCCATAACAAATACATACTATTAAGAGCCAAATTCTACATGTATAATAACCCTAACATCAATGGACAAGGATGGAAGAAAACCCTACCTCAATGTTCTTAAAAACCTAGGTTTAGTGTGAAGAAGATGAAGATTTGATCTTCTTTGAAGTATAGATCTCCTCTTGATCTTGTGTTTTATCCTTCTCTCTTCCTCTAGAGTCCTAAGAGAAGTGGGTTGAGAGTGGAATGAGAGAAATGAGAGTAAAGGCTGAAGTCTGTGTTTTTAAACACAGAAATCCCGATTTTTTTTTTTCTTTACTATTTATGGGCTGCTTCGACTTTACTGTTCATGGGCTGCTTCGATATTACTTCATTTTCGGGGCATAACTCTCTCATTCAAGCTCCGATTGAGATGATTCAAGATGCTATGGAAAGTTAAGAAAGAACTCTACAACTTTCATGTTTTGAGTTTTAAGAGATATTGACTGCATCAAGGTCTAAATTGGGCTTGAAGTTGCAGCCAGTGCACAGTTCACGTGCACTGTTCACTATTTCGTCCCTTTTTCCATTTCCAATCTACCAAATTCAAACACACATCGCTACACCTATCCCCATTTTTACAACAATTATTTAATATATATCTATATGCATATATATAAAATAAAATGCGGAGTGTTACAATTGTATTGGAATTCTTTGATTGTGTAGAAACTTCGTTCTGCCTTGGGATATGTAATGTTTTAAGAAATAGTGGATACCAGCTAACTTTAATCTTTTGCAAAGCTGAAAACTTTTAGTGATGAATCACTAGGCTTGGATATTTTAAATTGCTAAAACAATATTCATTTGTAAATATGTGAATTCAATTTAATCTATGTTTCGGATACAACCTTACACTAAGGTAGTTCGTTGATAAGAGATAGTCAGCTATTGCAGTCTCAAATTTCAGACTCACCAATACAGATCACAGGAAAAAAAACACAGCTACTAGGAAAGGCACTGAATATTTTCTGTTTTCAAAACTAAGTCAAGTCATCATACACAACCAAACATAGTCCTCTGTCTTCCAATTTAGAGATTAGGTGAATCAAACACATCACATTTTTCATTGAACATAAATTAGGAGTTAACATGGTTGGTGTCGTTCCTGAAAAGTATGATTCTTAAAAGAGCTGTTATACTGAATCTTTGACCTGACCAACTCACTCACATGCATGCCTTGTGTGTGTACGTGTGTGTGTAGCTTTCAGGTGCTATTCTCAATCATGTGTTGGTGCCAATACCAGAATGATCAGTATAATCGTATGACTGAGTTGGTTTATGAAGTTTTATCAACATTGCTTTTAGGTTATTTCCCAAAAAAACAAACATTGTGTTTAGGTTTCCATAGATCAACAATTCACCTTACTGTTAAATTGTCAGTGAAATTTTGTTTGGACATCAAAACTTGGTCTTTTTGCTCCTTCCTAAGTCACTACATTATCTTTGATCTCCTGAGAATAAAGTTGACATTTACAGGGTAAGAAGTGAAAGCTTTCACGTGTAAAAGACAAAAGAAATCCTTAAATTTTTAAATACTCGATCACGCGCGTAGTTAGTACTTGTTTAAGAACTGAAGCTGAGTCACTTAACTAGGAACCCAACTATAGTTTAAAGTTTGTGTAGAGTTGAAATTCTGTGTCATACAGATTTACCATTGCCACTTTCACATTGATGAATTCACACTATTCTTTGAACCACATATATCTATCTATATATATATATATATACACACACAGACACACACATATGTATATTTACCTTGAGGATTCCAGAATAATCATAAAGTGATAGAGAAGAGATGAAATTTACTTGAGTTCTAGAAAACCACTCATCTCGATTGCCCCACAGAATGCGACTTCGCCATCGCCTTGAGAAAAATGCATGTCCCCAGTGCTGAAATTTGCTCCATCCACAAATACTGGTAGGTATATTTTTGAACCTCTACTGAGATTTTTTATGTCGCAATTTCCTCCATTTTCTCTTCCTGGAATTGTCCTTGCAGCCTCCTTAGCAATCTTTTCCCATTCAGGAGTGCCCTCTTGAATCTACAAACAATAATTAGGTGATAAAATAACCCTTTTCTGCTGGTAGAAAGTTGGATAAGTTGCAGTTTACCAGCTTTATTTGTTAGGGTGATTTACTTACAAGGAAAATTAACGGAAAGTATACTGGAGGGATCAAAGTTTGGGGGAATTGATACAATTATACTTCTTGCTTTTATATTGAATGTGTCAGACCTTGCCAAGAAAACACCCTTTGGTTGAGGGTAGGTTTGCCAGTGGTCGTGTATGCAAAACCTCACATAACTTGAGAGACTGAAATCCAGTTTCTTCAAGATTTCTTTCCCTTTCATTCCATATCTGAAGTAGTTCCATTGAAGGTGCAGTTCCAATTATTCCGGGGTGAGTCAAACCCGGAAATCGTACCCCTGTCATGCAGCAGAAAGTGCATGAGTAGCAGAACGAGATAGGTACAAATTTCACCCGAGGCATACCGTATAGGCATAGGTTAGTTCCAAATAACCGCGTCAGTGTACAATTCACTTGGTAATATAGTGTGTTCAATAATAAGGGGGCGGGGCATATATGAATTTCTTACATAGACAACCGAAATCCTCCTAACTCTGCGATCTTTGGACTTGTGGTTACGAAGTAAACTTAGAATGCCCATAATTACATGCATCTGGCCAGCTAGGGTGTCTCTCATACGATTCGAACTTGGGTACACGATGCATTAATTATTGAAATGCTATTATCTGACCTTTCTGGACGGATTATATACTTATTTGTTCTTCTAGGCACATAGCAAGAAAAAAAGGGTGGAAAATATACCTGGTATATGAGGAGAGTAGGCATATATTCCTTCAAAATACCAGATAGCTTTGGTAGCGCAAGGAAAATGGTCAGTTAGAAAACCACCACCATTTTCTCTGTCAAATATTGCTGTAAAACCCCATTCATCTCCTGGTAGAGGACCCAAATTGCAAATTTCAACTACCAGAAGATCACCTGGCTTGGCGGGAGTGCCATCTACATCTACAACNGTTTAAAATATTATACTTTAAACAAAAAATATTTCAATTAAAGATAAAATGTCAAGTATTTTAAATTTTACAGCCAAAATTTATGTGTCTATTATGACATTTTTGAAATAAAATTAAAAATAAAAATTTAATTTTTTCTTCAAAAATTATAATTAATATACAATTATACTATGTGTTAGAATTTAATTTGATTGTTTAAATGATTAAATTAAACTACTAAATTATCTCAATTAAAGTTAAAAGATATTGTGTCTATTATAGTTTGATCTCTTATTTAATTTTTTAATTTTATTCTAATAGATAGTATAATTGTATACTAATTATAATTTTTTAAGAAAAAATTAGTTTTTTGTTTTTGATTTTATTTTAATAAATATATATAATAAAGTAAAATATAATTCAATTTTCAATAAATAAACAAAATGATTTTTATTTTTTAAAGTTGAAATTTCTTTAAATTTTATTTTAAATTTAATTCAACGATTAATATTAACATTTTAAATTTAATAATAAAAATAAGCTCTTTAAGGGGAGACCACCACTACTGCTGCCACCCTACCATTACCACCACTTTCGCACAATCACCCTTACCACCACCCCACCTCTACACCCATGACAATCACCATTACCACCACCATCGTCGCCGACACCCCACCCCCAATCGCCCCACCACCATCACCATTACTACCATCATTGCCACCCCACCATTATCACCACCGTCACTGCTGTCGCCATCCCACCACCACCCTATTCCACAATAACCACCACAACTGCCACCCGACCACCAAACCCATCGCCCCATCACCACCACCGCTATTGCCACCCTACCATCATCGCCTCACCACCACCGTCGTTACCCCCACCACACTTGTGCCACAATAACCACCATCGCCCCCACCCCCCACGCCCACTCTCACCCCCTCACTATGATTGTCACTGCCCCACCGCCATCTTCACCACCATCGTTATCCATTATTGATTTCTACCACTGTTATACACCACCACTATCGACCACCATCGTCATCTCATTCTTATATTTATTATTATTACCACTATCATCTCACTACCACTGTCGTCCACTATTAGCACCTACCACCACCATTGTTGCCCACCACCACTCGTCGTTACCCACCATTGTCGCCAACCACTATCTTCCACCTCCGTCACACTTAACACCACCACTCGTCATCGCCCATAACTGTCGCCACCCATCCCACCACTACCACTACCACTACCACTACACCACCACCACCACCACCACCACCCTACCACCCCCTACCACTACCACCATAAACCACCATTGCCCCCACCACCACTTCTACGACCATCATCACTACCGCCACCTACCATCACCACTATTGTCGCCGCCGCCAGCCCACCACTATGACCACTGCCACCATCACTACCCCACTGCCACCCACTATCGATTAATACCATTGTTGTTCATCACCACCATCCACCATCATTTTCATTTCATTCTTATATTTATTAACACTACAATCATCATCCCCACTACCACCGTAAGCACCTATCACTATCAGTGTTGCCCACCACCACCCCGTCGTCACCCACTATCACCGCCAGCCACTATCACCCACTACTAAAACCCATCACCACCACCCCGTCATAGTCCACTATCGTCGCAACCACTATTACCCACCTCATCACACCTACCACCATCAGCCACCACAACTTGTCATCGCNCACTATCATTGTTGCCCACCACCACCCGTCGTCACCCACTATCACCGCCAGCCACTATCACCCACTACTAAAACCCATCACCACCACCCGTCATAGTCCACTATCGTCGCAACCACTATTACCCACCTCATCACACCTACCACCATCAGCCACCACAACTTGTCATCGCCCACAACTGTTGCCACCCACTGTCACCCACCCCACAACACCTACCACCATTGTCATTCACCACCACCCATCACATTGTCGTCTAGAAATACCCGTTGTCGCCCATTACCACCACCGTCGTCGGCCCACCATCACCACTACTAACCACCATCACCGTTGCCCATCACGACCACCGTTATCGATGGCTACCATTACCACCATCGTCACCGAAAATTCACCACCACCATCACTGTTGTCTCCACCACCACGATCCTCACCATCTACCACAAACATCACCGTCTCTCACCACCACTACGACTGTCCACCACCACTGCTCACCCCCCACTACAACAGGTGCTTAAATTTATTTCTCTCCTCAATATATGTAATTTCACTTGAAATACCAAAGACAGGTCATATGTATAAGAAAAAACAAATGAAAAATGTGTGAGAGAGATGAAAAGTATGTAAACAATTCAGAAATAAACTGATTATAATAAAATCTCAAAGTTGTGAAATAAACTAGAGGAGGGTCAGCAAACTTGCAAATATGCTATAGGAAAAGGATAAAAAAATAACTCCTATCTAATCCTTAGTTGCTTGTTTAACTGTCGAACAAAGGAGGAGTACAAGCACATTTGAGTTCAAGTTTCTCTGATCGAGATGATTATTGAGATGATTTTCCACCACCTCTTATTTGCCATCTTTATGTTTTATGCTTACCAATAGTGCTTAGTAGTTCAGTATATGCTGACAATAACCTAGAAGATAAGGTAAATAAACTCACAATAGAGATGTCAGCATGTTTGATATCTTCAGCAGTGTACTCCTTGGTAATGCCACCACCACTGCAATCCACCATCTCAACTCTGAAAACCTCTCCAACTTTGACCTCTGCAACTAGGGGTATGTCTGGGTCCCCCGGTTGCGAAGGGGAAGTTTCTGTTTCGTGGCTTCTTCTTCAAATCTATGGGCACCACCAGTCTTGCACCATGTAGAGCCATGGCTTTACTCTGAGCTTTTTTTTTTTTTTTGATCTAGCGGCCGGCAAGTTATTGGAGATGACCTGTTTGATAAAAGGTTTCTAAGAGAGGGTGAAAGTCTTGGAGCCTTCATTTTCTGATGGGAATCTTGACAACCATGATTGGAACAAGAAGGTCAGTTTTTCTTCTTCTTGTTCATTTGTGGATGGACCACCTACACTGATGGTAGTCTCGGCAAAGAATTTGAAGGTTAATTATAGCATAATTGTGTTAAATAGTGTTAGGCACAACCCATATAGCCTTTCCTAATCTTTTGCAAGCAAAGTTGGCCACTCATTAAGGAAGAATAATGCCAACACTTAGAGGTATCATCGAAGTTAATTCGAGTTAGACATAACTGGCCAATTGATTTGAATGCACAAATGGAAATGTCATTTCAATACTTAATGAAAAATTGTGACGTGACCAAAATTTATTTTGAATGGTATATATAAATATCATGACCTTTGATAGACTATAAATATAAACTAAGATTTATATTATTTATCTTATGAGAAAATAATTTGTTGAATCGAATTAAATTGAATGCTGGCTTCCAATATGGTCATCATTTGGTGATGGAATTTTTGCTTCAAGCTGATCCAATTTGCCTTTTAAAAGGACCCCACCCAGAGATCTGGATCTTTAGGATATTGATTAGATTTTTATAATGACTTTTTCTGTTTTGTTTGAATGTGTAGAGAAAATGAAACCGAATTTGCTCTGGCTAGGGAAATGGTCCACCCAGCTACTCTTTGTCTTGGAATACTTTTCCTAGGAGTATGATGTATTGACCAACAGTGAGAATAATGCGATGGCTTCATTTAGGGTGGTGAAAAATCTATTCTGATGAAGAATTGGCTTTAGATTTTAAGACTATGGGCATGAATGTGTGTGTCATTACAAAACTGTGGGATTGTGGATTTTGTACAATCTCATATACCATGAATATGAATCGTTCAGATGAAATCAAGAGTCTGTTTTTCACCCAAAGGCAGCCCCACGATTAGGATTGTGTAGCTAACAATGTTTGCATCACCCTGTGAAGTCCAAGATCATAATTCACATAGGTGTTAGTTGACACACGATGAGGATCTGGTGTGAGTTTCAAAAACTTCACACGAACCATAGATTGTGTGTTTTTTTTTTGCATCCATAATTGAAACGAAATTATATTTGAGAAAAAAGTTCGNTCACATAGGTGTTAGTTGACACACGATGAGGATCTGGTGTGAGTTTCAAAAACTTCAAACGAACCATAGATTGTGTGTTTTTTTTTTGCATCCATAATTGAAACGAAATTATATTTGAGAAAAAAGTTCAAAAAAAAACTCTAAATCTTAAACCTTAAAGACATAACATAAGAAACCAAGCCTTGTCTTTGAGGCAAAAGTTGGATACTGTGAAAGATTAAGGCAATATCACGACGATGTTAAAATATAAAAGTCCAATACATCGCGAATTGATGATGATAACTCGGAGGACTTGATCGAGTCGTTCTAGATGTTTTCAAGTTAGCCATGAGTCGCGTAAGAAACGTGGTTTACATGGAATGTGTGTCGGTCTTTGTATGGAAGATGCTGTTTCAGATATGGCTTGGCTGCCGCGTGTATTTTTTTGTCAGTGACATTCAATTGGAATTTTCTTAGAGTGTAAGGTGGCGCATGGCTACTTTAGCTCACTTGGAAGAGCTTACAATCAATTTTTTTGCTCAATATTCATGGGCATGATTAAAACTATAAGCTGATATGGTAAATATAAATAAGAACAAATAGAAGATATTAAGGGCATTTCTTTCTTAAATTTCTTACACATTTTATGTCATCAAAGCAACACATCCACTCCTTAACCAGAAAGCAAAGTTTCCCGAGCTACATATCAATCTCCCCCAAAGTATACTTTTATTTCTGCATGCGTATCTGGCATGTAAGCTAATATTCAGCATATCACTTGCTTCTAGTTGGCTCCCTGGGTAGTAATTATTCCATGGCACAGGGGTTTTTTGTGGTTGGCAAATTTCCATCGTAAGTGCATTGTGGGATGTTTGGATTCCTTACCAGCCGAGGCCCAACTGGAACTTTGTTGTTTTTTGGACGAATATCCTGCACACCAACACAATAACATATCTTTCAGAAAATATCGACATATAATGCATTATTGTAGAACTGATTGAATTAGGGAAGCTTTCAAAGAGCTTAATATATGTACACTATTGACAGGCTCTTGTCATATGCCTGATGCATTCTCAACATACTTCTTGTTCTGGCATTTACTGTGCAAAGGCAAAACTTTACAGCTTATGAATATGGATTGCTAGTTCTAATCATATGTTTATTTGTAGGCCTATATTTATTGCATTTGTTTTTGATAGAATTGTCTGGTTATATAAAGTTGTGTTTAGGGGTCATTCGTCACTGGGTTTGGGAATTTGGTAACACGATTGGCTTGGAAGGGGTATGTGTTTGTGTATGATTAAGTATGTTACCGGTTATGTCAGGACGAGTACATAGTTCTGTTTCTTAGTGTGTTATCCATCTAAAGATGGAGCAGATGAGTGAAATTGGTAATTTACACTATTGGTGAATGTTAGAAGTCCAACTTTTTAAGTCCATGTGCATTTTTTGAGAAATAATTTTAGTTACATTGACTAAATCCTAGATATCCATGCACACGGGGCAATTGGGATCATTTGAATGGCTAGAATTATTTTGTTTAGTTAAATTTGTGGATTTTCTCATTTTGTCTATTCTCGGATTTCTTTCCTGTTAATTGGCTTTGAATGACAGAAAAAAGTTTACAGCTAGTTCATTTTTATTCTTTGGCATGCTGGCACAGTTACCTGACTTCTCGTGCGCCTTTATGCGGTGAATTGATGATCTTGGCATTTGAATTATTCCTGCCCCTGCACCCTTTTTTTGGTTTTTTTTTGAATAAAAGACGAGTAGTAGTTATGAATTCATGTTGCAGATGGGACTTGAATCACACATTTCTTTTTAATAAGAGGTGGGAGGATGTACCACTTGACTTTTAGCTAATGGTTTTTTTGCACACTATACTTATTCCAATGTCCATGAAAGGGTGCTCATATGCTCTATCCTTAAGATTATAACTTCTATGTAGTTTCTTATTTGAGCTTTTATTCATAAGAATCATGAATCTATGATATATTTTGGCATCATGTTGGATGTGTGTGGGAATTTGCTAATAAGAGTTTCTGCTACTATATTGCTTCTTCTGTATATGCATTTGATGCTTCAGTTTGTTGGGCGTTTGGCACATTTTTCATTGCTCAAAATCCTAATACTTTTGGTTGGCCTTTTCTGGATAGATGTTGGGACTGGGATGGACACTGGGCCACTTAGTAGCAGTAATGAAATTACAACCAGGATAACACACCAGCACAATTTTGTATCAACTTAATATAAGTGTTGGGACTGTAGCAGCCTTGTAGAAGTTGGAGTGATTTGATTGTGGTTTTTTGAATAGCTGCAGTTGTCATAATGTTTGTAGAAGAGAAGCTGGAAGTAATTACCTGGTCAAAGATGGCTGTTGGGATTGCAAGGGTGGCAACAGCATTGGGAGAATCGACTATTCCTGAAATCCTTCCTTCACAGGGACAGCATGACAGTAGAAGATAAGCCTGTAGCAACCAGGGTGTTATCTAGGTCAGTATTGTAATGAAATGCTAACTAACCATGATTGTGTATTTGGCTGCGNATAAGCCTGTAGCAACCAGGGTGTTATCTAGGTCAGTATTGTAATGAAATGCTAACTTACCATGATTGTGTATTCGGCTGCTTCTATATGTTGGGTGCGTTCTTTGACGAGCTATAAAGATGATGTCAAGAGATATATCTCAAACCTGTTCTTTAGAGTACCCAAATCTGGACAGGTAGCCAATTGCGTTGAGCACTGCACGTTTGTAAGCAACACTGGCGTCGAGGAAGTGTTGTCTCCCACTTTCGTCAACACTTATGCCTTCAAATACCAACCATTCTGAGAATCTTGGCTCTAGAGGGCCTATCTCGAATATTGGGTTGACATGTAGGGGAGTGGGGCCCATCGGAGTGAGGTATTCTTTCATGCCACCCCTTATGATTTCACACCTGATAACCAGTGGAATAACCCTAAAATAAGTTTCAAAGAAAAAAATGGAATTGTGTTGGGAAATACTTGTAGCAATTGAATTACTATGATGACGAGAAAATAAATAAAATAAACCAAAACACACAAAGAAAGGCATCACAGATATTTATGTCGTTTGACAAAATTCTTGCCTACATACATGTAGGCGTGATCTGGTCTCCTTCAATATTAAGGAAAATTGAGTACGATTGTACAAATCCTCACTACTCGAATTTTATACTCCAAACCCGAGCTTTATACACCAACCCTTGTACACCTCACTCAACTCATCCACTCAATACGTAAAGAAGATGAGAGTTTTTCTACTGGACTCTCGCTTTTCTCACAAAATTGGGTTGTTAGAATTCAAAGATTGCAAGCCTATTTATGGGCACGAGAGCTTTCCAACCTCACGTTTTCTTCATTTTTGTTCCTATTGCAATTTCGGCACTACATCATTTGTTGAATTTGGAGCCACAGTCAACAATTGAGTTAATACGATGATGAGAAAATAAATAAATAAAATAAATCAAAACGCTTAAAAGAAAGACAACACTAATATTTACATGGTTTGGCAAAATTCAAGTTTACGTCCACGAGGTGTGATCCGGTTGTTGTTTTTATTATTGAGAACAATTGAGTACAATGATAAAAGCTTCACTACTCAAATTTAATATTCCAAACCGGAGCTTTTTATCCATTGTACACCCTACTCAATTAACCCACTCAATCCTTTAAAATAGAGAAGAGTTATATACTAAACTCTCTCGCTCAAAATTGGATGTCAAAAACTTAAAGTTTTGATGCCTATTTATAGGCAAATGCTGCAATGGCAATATGATAATTATTGCAAGAAGACAGGCAATTTTGTAGCCAATGAAAAGATGTCACAAGTCTTCTTTTTCATGGGTCCTCTTCACAGATCATTTCAAAGATATGCACCACATTCTCCAAAGTGCAATGTTCCTCCAACTTGGTGCCCAAACAATTGTTAACCGACTATGACTTCGAGCCTTCAATCGCAATAAATCTCCACCTTAGCTAGAATTCAATAACCTCCACATGAAACACCAGGTCCGCATCTTGATATAGATATTAGATACCCATTCCCATGCCTTGGAATGTTCCTGGAAGCTAATGGTGTGAAAGATTGATCAAGTCTAAACAATGCTTGAACTTCTATATAGTGACCGACTTTCTCATCATATCAGCAACATTGTTCTCCATATGAACTTTCATCAAATTCACCATCCCTTCTTTCAACCACTCCTTGAGAGCGTGATACCTCACATCGATATGTTTTGATTTGACATGATAAACTTGATTATTTGCCAGATGAATAGCACTTTAGCTGTCACAATACAACTCTAAGTCAGTTACTACATAAACGTTCTGGCATTGTTTGGACTTGAGCAATCTCACGCACTGTTAGATTGACAGGATGTCCCAAGGCGTGGGGATGGACATTTGCATCAAGATGCGGACCTGGAATTTCAGGTAGAGGTTATTGAGTTCTCGCCAAGGTTGAGATTTGTTGGACGGTGGCTCCAAATTCAACAAATGATGCAACAAGGACAAAAAGAAGAAAACTTGAGGTTGAAAAGTCTTCAACCTGAACTCTTGGCCTTGTACCATTTCCCTTGGTTTTGGCAATTATTACAAAATGCCATGGAGCCTCATGCCTATAAATAAGCTTGCAATCTTTGCATTTTTGCATCTTGACATATTCGGTTTGGTGACAGTTTTCCTCTGACATGGACATAAATAAACCCTTCATGCACAGGTCCTATTGTCCAAAATACATCTTTGCCATTTAGGTTGATGATTAGAGTGAAGGATGACTTCTGTAGGAATAGTTTTTACGATCATCTAGATGAAAGGGTCACCTAGACTGAGATCCTTGTTTTAAGGTCTTTTAACATAGGTTTTTTAAGTAGAATTCTTGATCACTCTTGGGTTGACTAGTGCGCCTATTTCTCCAGCAAATTTTGTTGTGATAATTGCCAATCATATTCTATCTTGGCATTGCTGATACTGTGCCCCTAGGCTTTTCTCAGACTCAAAGGGCTGTAGTGAGTTGGTGGTGTTATGTGTTACTTGGCTAGGCAACAACATAACAAGGGTATGATATCAGATATGTGTTTGACATGACATCAGTCTGACGTGTATCTTACAGGCATGTTTGACGAAGGGAGGGAGGAGAAATCCAAATTCCTTGAAGACTAATGGAAAACTTGCTCGATCATTTTTATGATATTGTATTGGAATTCTTTGATTGATACCAATGTTTAATACTATGTCTTGTAGAAACTTTGTTCTGCCTTAGGATATGTAATGTTTTAAGAAATAGTGGATACCACCTAACTTCAATCTTTTGCAAAGCTGAAAACTTCTAGTGATGAATCACTAGGCTTGGATATTTTAAATTGCTAAAACAATATTTATTTTTAAATTTGTGAATTCAATGTAATCTATGTTTCGGATACAACTACACTAAGGTAGTTCATGGATAAGAGATATAATCAGCTATTCCTGCCTCAAATTTCAGACCCTCCAATACATATCACAGAAAATTATAAAAAAAAAAAACACAGCTAACAGGAAAGGCACTGAATATTTTCTATTTTCAAAACTAAGGCAAGTCATCATGCAACTGAACATAGCCCTTTGTCCTGCAATTTAGAGATTAGGTGAATCATACACATCACATTTTTCAGTAAACATAAATTAGGAGTTAACATGGGTGGTGTGGTTTCTGACTAGTATGCATCTTAATATAGCTATTATACTGAATCTTTGACCTGATCAACTCACTCACACGGTTGCCTTGTGTGTGTGTGTGTGTGGCTTTGAGGTGCTATTCTCAATCATGTGTTGGTGCCAATACCAGAATTATCACTATAATTGTTTGACTAAGTTGGTTTACGAAGCTTTATCAACAATTGTTTTTAGGTTATTTCCCAAAAAAAAAAAAATCGTGTTTAGGTTTCCCTAGGTCAGCAAGTCACCTTACTACTAAATTATCAGTGAAGTTTTGTTTTTAGTAGTGGAAGTGTCAGGACATCAAAACTTGGTCTTTTCGCTCCTTCCTAAAGTCACTACATTATCTTTGATTTGATCTCCAGAGAATAAAGATGACATTTTCAGGATAAGAAGTGAAAGCTTTCTAGTGTAAAAGACAAAAGAAAACCTTAACTTTTTAAATTCTTGATTGCAACAGGTGCATAGTTAGTACTTGTTTGAGGACTGAAGCTGAGTCACTTAACTAGGAACACTTTGTGTAGAGTTGAAATTCTGTGTCATATAGATTTACCATTGCTACTTTTACATTGATGACTTCACATTATGTTTATCTCACTGTTCTGTGGCTTTTTTATTTGTTGCTATTAATGTAATGATCCCATGGGAACTATTCTTTGAATCACATATATCTATATCTATAAACACACACACACACACATATATTTACCTTGAGGATTCCACACTAATGATAAAGTGATAGAGAAGAGATGAAATTTACTTGAGCTCTAGAAAACCACTCATCTCGATTGCCCCACAGAATGAGATTTCGCCATCGCCTTGAGAAAAATGCATGTCCCCAGTGCTGAAATTTGCTCCATCCACAAATACTGGTAGGTATATTTTTGAACCTCTGCTGAGATTTTTTATGTCGCAATTTCCCCCATTTTCTCTTCCTGGAATTGTCCTTGCAGCCTCCTTAGCGATCTTTTCCCATTCAGGAGTGCCCTCTTGAATCTACACACAATAATTTGGTGTTAAAATAACCCTTTTCTGCTGGTAGAAAGTTGGATAAGTTGCAGTTTACCAGCTTTATCTGTTAGGGTGATTACTTTCGCGGAAAATTAAGGGAAAGTGTACTGGAGGGATCAAAGTTTGGGGGAATTGATACAATTATACTTCTTGGATTTATATTGAATGAGCCAGACCTTGCCAAGAAAACACCCTTTGGTCGAGGGTAGGTTTGCCAGTGGTCGTGCATGCAAAACCTCACATAACTTGAGAGACTGAAGTCCAGTTTCTTGAAGATTTCTTTCCCTTTCATTCCATATCTGAAGTAGTTCCATTGAAGGTGCAGTTCCAATTATTCCGGGGTGAGTCAAACCCGGAAATCGTACGCCTGTCAAGCAGCAGAAAGTGCATGAATAGCAGAAGGAGATAGGTACAAATTTGTGCCGAGTTTTACCGGATAGGCATAGGTTATTCCCAAATAATCGCGTCTCTGTACAATTCAACTTAGTAATATAGTGTGTGGTCAATAATAAGGTGGCATATATGAATTTCTTACAAAGACAGCCGAAATCCTCATAAATATGTGATCTTTGGACTTATGGNCCTGTCAAGCAGCAGAAAGTGCATGAATAGCAGAAGGAGATAGGTACAAATTTGTGCTGAGGCANTTCATTCCATATCTGAAGTAGTTCCATTGAAGGTGCAGTTCCAATTATTCCGGGGTGAGTCAAACCCGGAAATCGTACGCCTGTCAAGCAGCAGAAAGTGCATGAATAGCAGAAGGAGATAGGTACAAATTTGTGCCGAGTTTTACCGGATAGGCATAGGTTATTCCCAAATAATCGCGTCTCTGTACAATTCAACTTAGTAATATAGTGTGTGGTCAATAATAAGGTGGCATATATGAATTTCTTACAAAGACAGCCGAAATCCTCATAAATATGTGATCTTTGGACTTATGGTTACAAAGTAAACTTAGAATTCCCCTAATTACATGCATCTTCTTTCCAAAAAAAAACATGCATCTGGCCAGCTAGGGTGTCTCTTATACAATTCGAACTTCGGGACACAATGCATTAATTATTGAAATGCTGCTATCTGAACTGCCTTTCCTGGATGGATTAAGTACTTATTTGTTCTTCTAGGCGCATAGTAACAAAAGAAGGGTGGAGAATATACCTGGTATATGAGGAGAGTAAGCATATATTCCTTCGAAATACCAGATAGCTTT